GGAGATCATTTGTGGATGAAATAAACAGATTTAATAAATGTATGTCGGACGTTGGCCGTTGGATGTCCGATAATTCATTGAAGTTAAACCAATGTAAGACTCAGTTCATCCCAGTTGGGACTTGGCAACAGTTATCGAAGATGAATGTCACTTCACTCAATCAATCAATCAATTCGCTTATAAAGTGCTATTTCCGCGATGTTCAACAGCGCTCCTCAATGAATTTTGAAAACAGATGGGTCTTGAGATCCGCTCTGAACTTCGCAAGTGATGGAGAAATAGTTAGAGAAGTAGGTAGAGAGTTCCAGAGATATGGCCCAGAAAAAGCAAAAGCAGATTTGGCAAAAGAGTGTTTAACACGAGTTAAGAAAAAGCGAGAAGAAGAAGACGATCGTAAACCGGGGCGTTTAGGTTCAATTAATATATCTGATAAGTACTTAGGAAATAATTTAGATTGAGACTTATACATGAACGTGCAAATTTTAAAAATTATTCTATATTTTATAGGTAGCCAGTGCAAGAGAACAAGATATGGAGATATATGAGAAAAGAAAGGGGCACGAGCAACTAGACTAGCAGCAGAGTTAAAAGCTTTACTTAAAGGATAGAGTATAGAGTCAGGAAGACCATAGTAGAGCGAGTTACAATAATCAATCCTAGATAAGACTAACGAAGTAACAAGAAGGAGAAGAGTAGGATCATCAAGAAAAGGCAAAAGTTTTTTTATTCTACGTAGATGAAAGTAAGAGCTTCTAGCAACACTATTAATCTGAGAAGAGAGAGACATAGTAGAATCAAAGATAAAACCTAGACTACGAAACTTATGAGAGACATCAAGAGTTTTAGAATCAGGTAAGATAATAGGAGGAATAGTAATTGAGTGTTTAGATTTATTAAAACAAATTAATTCAAACTTAGAAGGATTAAGTTTAAGACACATAGAATCAGACCAAGCGATAATCAAAGAAAGACATAGAGATAAATTATGAAGAACACTATTGAGATTAGATGGAGGAAAAGAAGTATAAATATAAGAATCATCAGCATATAGATGACTAGAGAAAGAAAAGTTATTAATAATACGAGGTAGTTCAGAAGTATAGAGTATAAATAGAAGAGGGCCAAGGATAGAACCCTGAGGTACCCCGAAAGTAAGAGTAGAGGAGTTAGAAGTAGAATTATTGAGAACAACAGAAGAAAAACGATTACAGAAATAAGAAGAAAACCAAGATAGACAAGAATCAGTAATATTAAAAGAAAGATGCAGCAGTCTCAAGAGAATAGTATGGTCAACAGTATCAAAAGCTGAAGAATAGTCAAGAGCAAGAAGAAGAGTAAGATTACTATTGTCACTAGAGAGAAGGATATCATTGTGTATTTTAAGTAAAGAAGTTTCAGTACTGTGAGCAGGTCTGAAACCAGATTGAGATACAGGTAGCAAAGAGTTAAAGTCTAAATAGGATGAGAGTTGATTAAAAACAACTTTTTCTATTATTTTAGAGATGAAAGTAATATTAGTTACAGGTCTATAATTAGATAAAGAGGTAGGATCTAGGGATGTGTTTTTAAGAATAGGAATAACAATAGAATTCTTATAAGAAGTAGGAAATTTAGAGGTGGAAAGAGATAAATTAACTAATTGAGAATGATGGATAAAATATGAA